GGACACACTTCAGGGACAGACGACAACTCATATCAGGTGCTGCACCCGGACACACTTCAGGGACGGACGACAACTCACATCCGGTGCTGCACCCGGACACACTTAAGGAACGGACCCCCGACACACATCCGGTGCTGCACCCGGACTCACTTAAGGGACGGACCCCCGACACACATCCGGTGCTGCACCCGGACACACTTTAGGGATGGACCCCAGACACACATCCGGTGCTGCACCCGGACACACTTTAGGGATGGACCTGGCCTCACATCCGGTACAGGACACATACACACTTTTCATGCTGGACCCAAATATCTGGTATTGGACAGGGAAATACATCCTGTTCTGTGTGACCAGGCCTCACATCCTAAAAGATATGGACACGCTTGCAGGACCCTGAGCACACATCCCTCCCCCGACCTGGACATCCACCTGGCACAGGACATGAAATGCAAACCCAGACACATCGCGACAGCACGTGGACACAGCATTCTGGACAACACATATCTGGGACAGGAGTCGGACAAAATCTCCTGTGCCAGAGACAACCGCTACAGCACACTTTCCATGCTGGACACATGCGGCACCACACACAGACACAATTCCCTCACCATCCACCACCACTCAACCTCAAAAATTCATCAACCGTGCTCGCTTTGGCAGCACATACACTAAAATTGGAACGATACAGAGAAGATTAGCATGGCCCTTGCGCAAGGATGACACGCAAATTCGTGAAGCGTTCCATATTTTCGACCTTGAAATTAACCAGTCTGTAACGAAGGCTAACTCCTTTCACCTACAAATTTCGTCTTTGGATACAAAGCTAAGTGGATAGTCCTTATGGAGGGACTGTTTAAAAAGAGGCAGGGAGAAGAAAAGAAAAAAAATTCATCAACCACAGATGTTTTATGAAAAATACTTTTTTTCAGCATCTTTTCCATCGATACAGCCAAAAGTTTACTGACATAATTATTGTTATGTGTCGTCGAGTTACCTGCGACTCAGCGACCATATGTACAACAGCCCTAAACCTTGCTCTGTCCTGTGCCAACCGCACTGTCTCTGACACACCTACCCCTATGACTTCAGTTATGGAGTCAGTCCACCTCATAGAGGGTCTTCCTCTCTTGCTCTGTCCTTCCACCGTCCCAAGTATAATGTCCCTCTCCAAGGACTCGTCCCTCCTTGCAACATGGCCAAAGTATGTCAGATAAAGTTTCAGAATCATCGCCGCCAAGGAGCTGCCTGGTTTAACCCTCTCCAGGGCGAACTCGTTTTTCTCTTAGCAGTCCATTCAACACTCTTCTCCAACACCACAGCTCAAAGGCATTAAAAGCAGGCCTCAATCATTTTCAAAATCAACAAAGCACAGATGTTAAAAAAAACACCCCTAAAACGCTGTATTTCTTTTACGTCATTTCTGTTGACATGATCAGACGCACTGCAATCCCAGAGGTAGGCGGTTCAAATCCACCAGATGCTCTGCCGGAGAAGGAGGAACAATCTCCTCCTGTACCAGTCAGATCTGATTTGACGGTACACACAAAAATAATACAATAAAAATAAAACACAACAACAACAACAAAAAAACCAGGCCTCAATCATTTTCAAAATCAAAAGCACAGATGTTAAAAAAAAACACACCCTAAAATGAAATGTTGTATTTTATTTTACATCATTTCTGTTTACATAGTCAGATGTCTACTGACACATCTAACAACCAGTAAACACGTGAAAATAGGCCTCCTCCTATCTCTCCCTCCCTTCCTGCCATCCGGTAGGATGTGATTCTGAGCTGACCCTCCAGTGGGGCTCCCAGGCTGTACACGGTGCAGGTGTAGATCACCCGTGTTTCTCCTGAGGTCACCTACCTGGTACCTACCTCCAGATAAATAACGGACCCTTGAGTCACCGAAATACAACTCCCTCTGATTGGTTATGCGCCAGCTTCAGTAAACTCAGCCCTGTCTGGTGGCAACGTGATCCAGCTGACCGTCCAGTGGGTTTTCTGGGACAGTCAATGCCACGAGGGGAGATGGCCCATCTTTCTCCCTCACACGAGCTGGTGGATTCAAACGATGTATCTTCAGGCTGATAAAGTCCTACCACTCTGCCACCAATGAGAGTTCCCTCATTAGTCACTGCTACCCGTTATGTGCCCTCGAGTCACCTACAACTCAGGGATCCTATCTACCATAGCTCTGAACCCTGCTCCATCCTGAGCCAATTTCATCTTCTATGACACATCTACCCTCATGTCTCCAGTCACTGAACCCATCACAGCCTGGGTCTTCCCCTCCTGCGCTGTCCCTCCACCCTCCCAAACATGATGTCCTTCTCCAAGGACTGGTCCCTCCTGGTCAGGTGAACAAGGTATGTGAGACAGCTTCAAAATCCCAGCCTCCATGAAGCAGCTCGGTTGCACCTGACTTTCTAGAACAGACCTGTTTGTTCCCGTGGCCGCTCCTGAGAGAAATACAAATCAAACCCACAGGAGAGACTGTTCTACCCAGGTCCGGAGCCATGAAGCAACACACACTGAGTACCCAATTGTGCATCTGTTATTAGTCGGAGATCGAGGGCGAGCTCATGCTCCAAAGGTCCCTCAACCCGCACGACATCATACTCGAGCCTTGTACGCAAAATATCTCAAATAGACGCAGGATGCATCCTGACAGGTTATCCAGCCCCCATCCACCCCTGCGAGCAGGCAGCTCCCTACAGCACCAGGAACTCCCCCTGCTTGTGGTTTGGTTTCTCAGAACACCCTGTTTCCCTGTCTCTATTCAACCAAGCAGCTTATCAAACTACACTACATGACCTCTCTAGGAGAAACGAGGCATTTATGAGGAACAACAGACCGACTCCTGGTCTAAGATGGAATCATGAGGCTAATTTACAGACTTCAATATAGTAACACCTCCTTCCTGTCAGGACCGCAAACAGGAGGAGTTGGGCTGAATATGAGGACACTGATACACGTTCTAACAGGGTCCATCCACCCATTGTGGGGAAATGCCGTTTCTTCCAAATACAAAATAAACAATTCTCATATTTTTAACCCTAATCCAGCATCTCGCTTTTAATCAAAAGTTATCCCATCACAATGGTAATCACCTGGCAATTTGCTTCCCTAAAGACTTCAGCAGATTTTAAAACACAGCGACATGTCATCAAGAGCGGTGACAAGTATGTCACCAAGATTTGAAAGCAAAATCTAAGTAGTATTTTTAGATGCATATTCCAAACACAAGCAGTGTTTTCTGAGGCACATCTTTGTAGAGGCTCGAGGAGACTTTGGGCCGAGGAGCTTCTCAAACAGCACTTTGCACAGCTTGTGCACTGAGCTCTAGGCCACGCTGCTGCCGGCCACCCCGGCTGTGTGGGCAAAGGGCTGCTGGGGGCTCGACAAGTTGCTGCGTCTCCCAGGCAAGGCTGTGGACTCTAGAGCCATGGTCCAGCCGGTGTTTGCTGGACCTTCACCACCCCAGGGCTGGAAGCCAGGACAGGGGCCTTGGCCTCAAAGACTGGGAGCCCCCAGCCCAACAGACCAGACAAGTCCAGCGTCAGGAGCTCAGAGTGGACGGGATCAGACACCACGTGTACAGCGACCACAGGCCCAGCCTTGGAGCTGTGTCCCGATAACTGCAGTCAGGCTGAGGTCCAACGTGCAGGCCCGGCACAGGGTGGGAACAGTGTTGTTTTCATTCATAGTGTTATTTTCTGGTTATGCCGAGGGAGCTCTGGGGGCAGAGTACCTTCAGCAAGAGGTTCGAGTCCACCAACTGCTCTGCCCGAGAAAGATGGGCAGTCCCCTCCTGTGTGATTTACAAGCCCTGAGAACCCGAGTGTCAGCGATGGATCAGACTCAGTGGTACAACAACAACAACATCAGGATGGACAGTGTCCTACCAGCATGAAGGGGAAAGAACGTGCAAAAGCAAGAGCTGCCGAATAATGAAAACGCACTGTTCACCATCAAAGAAACAAAATCACCTCATATATACTGTAATAGGAAAACCAGGGTCTTAGTTCTTATTTTAATTTTTTTAAAATACTAATCCTTCACTAGTGACCAACACAGACAGACAGGTCATCTTCCTGGGTCAATATTTTCACAGCGATGGGGTGATGGGGGGATTCCTACTTAGATAATCAGCTCGAGCAAAGCAAGAAGGGGGACCTGCCACCACCATGGTGTCTGTCGAGTCAGGTTCCAGGGTGGCAATCGGTTCCCATTAAACAAGGCCTTTCCTTTCTGGTGACACAAAGTGGGAACCAACCACCCACCCCCATGGAGGGAAGATGTTCCCAAGTAGACGCTTCCGAGGGTTCACCCTAGAGGAGGCAAGTGCACCTCGACCCCCAGAGAGCAAGTGCCAAGTGTCCACTTCACAGACCAGGACAGTGAAGGTGAAGGCTGGGTCCGTGGACCCGGGAGAGCAGCTCGTGGTCGCCGTCCAGTGGTCAAGACATGGAACAACGTGTCCACAACTACAACAGAACCACCACGCACCTTGCCTGACCGGGACCCACAGCAGCTACTGAACCAAAACACAGGCCACACATCCAGTCCTGGGATCACCTCACATCGGGTCCCAGGCCTGGCACACATTCGGACGGTTTCTGAAAGCTTTTTAAAATGTTCAAACTTAGAATAAACCAAATTCTCAAAATTTCATTAATAAGGTGCACTACATGGAGAAGCAGCTGGAGCAGAGGGGACCCCACACGGCGTTTCTCATAGACGACGCCATGGTCACTGTGGAACTGGGGTCCCCTGGCAGCCTGAACCCCAAGTTACAAGGAAATGAGGCTCTTCACTGCAGGTGACACAAGGCGGGAAGCGACCCCGGTCGAGGGGGATGTTTCCGAGGGGTCAGCACAGAAGAGGTAACTGCACCTCCAGGCAAAGGCTGGGTCCACGAGCCCGGGAGAACTGCCCGAGGTCGCCGCCTAGTGGTCAAGACGAGGAACAGGAACCTGCACGTCCACAACTAACAGAACCACCGAGCACGGTCCCTGCCAGACCCGGACCCACCGCAGCTATCGGACAAATGCGCGCTACACATCCAGTCCCGGGCCGGTCACACAGCCGAGTGGGTTTTGAAGTCTTTTTGTCCAATAAACTAAAAGCTCAAGTTTTCATGAATACTGTGTGTTAACTGGTTTATTACTGGTTCTCTGGCTGGAAAGTGAACTTGCTTGCACCTGCTCCCTATGGAGAATGCACTTTCAGTCCCCAGGCGTGAGGTCGGTCCACTGGCAGGGTCCGTGCAAGAACACGCACTGATGACGTCCGTGTCCGGTTGTGTAAAGGTTCCCTGAGCTGCGTGAGATACAGAGACCCTCAGGTGCCCAGGGGATCGGACACCTGGGAGTTCAAGGGGCAGCTGACCTCCGTCCTGCAGCACTGAGACCAGTCCTCTACACCCTCCCCACGTGGACGGGCCTGCTCCTCCTCTGGTCCAGCTCTGCCAGAGACCAGGCCCACATCGCCATGTGTCTACGGGCCTCGCACTCTACCCGCCGGCAGCCTGGCCCTGCCTGCTGCGCAGTCAGCCCTGAGATCAGCGGGGCAACAGGTGGAAGGAGCTGAGATGCCATCCCAAAGGCACAGGGTTCAAATCCACCAGCTGCACTCCAACAGAAAGAGTAATAGCCTCGTCCCGCATGATATGCTGACCCTGAAAACCCACCACAGGTTCACCTCTGAGTCGGTTCCCACTCAAAGGCCCTCAACAACAGCAGTAGCACTGACTGGGGTCCTTTCCTCTGCTTAAACCCCTTATTAAGCACACCCCAAGGCCACAACTGGAGGAGTGGACAAGCCACGGACATCCTAAGCCTGCACTAAGTGAGCCGTCATGCTGGCCATCTGTGACATGTCCCATCCCATGCCATCCTCACAAACTCTGACACACCAGAGACTGTGGATGCAGTCCCTGTGGCCATCCACCCGGTTCAGGATCATCTGTTCTTTCCCCATCGATCCTTCTTCGACAAAATTATATCCCTCTCCAATGAAGACCTTTCTCCTCCCAACATGCCCAAAGCCTGAGCGATGAAGCTTCCTGATCTTCACCTCCAAGGAGCACTCTGGCTGCACCCTCTCCACGACATCACCTCTTTGTTCTTTTGGCCGTCTGTGGGATACAGACAGAGTGAATATGATGAACATGATCATCTTAGCAAGAGCAGTCTACAAGTTCACTGCCATCCCGGTACTGATACTCATGCCATTCTTTAAGAAGATAGGAAAGCCATTGTCACGCTTCCTTGGGAAAGGAAAAAGACACCAAATAAGCAAAGCTCTACTGAAAAAAGAATACCAAAGTAGGAGTCATCCTACTTCTGTATCTCAAAACTGACTATACAGCTATGGAAATCAAAACCACATGGTCCTCGTAAATGCAAACACCAGCGGAAGATAATCGAGAGCCCAGAAATCCGCCCAGCCACTTATACCAAACTGATCTTTCAAAAAGACATCCAAAACCTGGCAGTATCTTTAACAGATGTACTTGTGTACCTCTGAGTGGAAACGGACACCTCGCTGACCCTCCAGCAGGTTCTCAGAGGGAGGAAACCAAACAGGAGGAGAATGCCCACCTTAATCCCAGGGGCAGCTGGTGGATTTCTAGTACACGCCTTTAAATTGGCAGAAAACTCCTTATCACGAAGCCCCCAAGGCACTCAGAAATCACTCTGGCAAAATGAGACATCTGTCTGTAGAAAGTCTGAAACAAGATCCACATCTCACACCATATGCAAAAAAAATCAAGTCAAGATTAATTGGGTACCTAGAAGTTTAAAAAAATTATCAAAGAAAAAAAGGAGGAACAAATTTAGAATCCCTACACCATGGAATTAATACAATGAATAATAAATTAATAGGATTAACAGGATTTGAAGTGGCCAAAAATGGACAACCAGCAGAGAAAAAAAAATAGATAAATGGGATCTTCTAAACCAAAAAAACCTTCTGTATTAGGGTGGAAAGACAGTCTACAAACTGGGAAAAATATCAAAGATATAACTGGTATGGGACTAATATCTAAAATGTATATAATTCCCCACCTCTTGAACAAAAAAAAGACATAAAATTCAACTACAAAATAAGTAGAAAGTATGAAAATACTCTTCATCAAACAGGATAGTCACAGAGCCAACACAGACATGAGAAAATGTTCAATATCACTAGCTTTTGAGGAAAAGCAAATGAAAAGAACAATGAGTTATCATCTAAGCCCAGCAACAAGGGCAAAGTTCAAAAGGACAGCAAACAACAAAAACCGGTGAGGATGTGGCGAGATTCGAACTCTCATACACTCCTGATGAAATGGTAAAATGGTACCACCACCAATCAAAGTTCTCCGGTGGTTTCTCTGAAAGTTAAAAGTATCGTTTGACCCAGTTATTCCACTACTGGAAATATGTTCTAAAACTATCAGAGTTGTCATACAAAAGAGATGCATACACACCCATATTTACTGCAGCATAATTCACAAAAGCACAATGATGTATGCAGCTCAAGTGAGTGACCATCAACAAACAAATACACTGTGGGAACTTGATACACAGTATAGAAAACATTGATACATTTCTGAAACACTGCACAACACATAGGAGCCTACAGGACATCCTGCTGTATGCAGTATAATTCAGACACAAAAAGAGAAATACTGTATACAACCAGTGTTACAAAAGCAGCAGGGTTGGAGGCGTGGAGGGAAAGCAGGAAAAGATTGAAAGATAATGAGCAATTCACTGGAATAGGTAAAAAGTCAATCTGGAATGAATGGAGGATCAGACATCATCTGTACAACAATGAGCAAGACAGGAACAGGACATGCACCGAGGACTGAAGGGGTGGGGCATCTGAATGAACGTGGGAGCGGAAAACCAACTGCTTTGTAAAGTTTCATCCAAATCACAATGTAAGGGGGTGGGGAGGAAAGACCTTCACTTTCTTATCATAGATAGACTTTTCAATAAACAGGAAAGAAAACTTTACATTGTTTCATATTTTTAACAGAATTTCTATGTGGTTTTCCTCTAAGTTAGATTTTCCCATTTTCTTTTTATCATGACAGGCTTTCCCTGGAGTCTGTTCAGACCTCAATGTTAACACTACATTAGAGTTAATAAGGCGGCAGCACGGAGCCCAGGACACACCGTACATGAGTTAGGTGCCTTGCACTTGTTCCCTCTTAACCAACTTTTAACTCTCCTGAGAACATTCAGGAGACAAACCAGTAACGCTGGCAGGACCTTCCAGAATGCACCCATCTTGAGAAAAAGAAAAAAATAAAAAATAAAAATCAGTGTCACGTCCTTGGTGATGACCAGAGTTTCACTAGAGAGACACAGCTTGGGGTCCACCAATGGGCAAACACTGATTTATTGAATTTCTCCTTTTCTAAAGATCACGCTGCTTTTACCCACCTAAAAATTCTGGATCTACACGAGCTCATTCCCAGATCCTTAACCTAGACAAAAAAGAGCCCCTCAGCCCTTTACCTTGGAGAGACAATATTTACAAACTTTAGTAAAATCCCCTCTTGGTGAGAGCCCACAGTTCAAGGGTCAGCTGAGACAATGGTGCCTAGAAAGTAATTAAAGAGTAATACAAAAATTAAAAATAATTTACTTCAAAATAAATAATAAAAATAAACATACAATATGACTATTAAAAGCGACATATAAAAAGAAATGTAGTATAAAAATATTTAAAATTGTAATAAAATATAAAAGTGCATATACATAAAAAACTTCTGTAAAAATAATAAATTCAAAATATACAAATAAAAGAATGAGAATAAATAAAACTACTGTTTCATGCTAAGGTTTGTGGCCAAGGTCTTTCTAACGTTGTAGCTGTTGGGTGCCCTCAAGTCTAGTCTGATTCCTAGGATTCTGTCAACAGCTGATCTGAACCCTGTCCGTCCTGTTACCCTCATCCTCTTGGACATTGGGACCATGGCGGCAGGACCCTTGTCAATCTATCTCCTTAATTAGGGATCTTCCTGTCTCTCTCACTGAGACCTATTTTCCCAACTCATTTTCCCGGGAATGGTATGACTGGAGAAAGGAAAAGAGGCCCCCAAGCAACGATTTAATGGAAATGAGCAGAGTTGGGAAGGAGGGTGACCTGCAAGTCCATGACCCTGGGAAGACTGAACTTGAACGCAGGCAAAAACAAAATGTGTCAAGAAAGACGCCGGCATGAAAAATAGAGAAAAGAAGTTGTTGTTTGTTGTGCGCTAGGGTGACTTTTGGTGTCGTTGTCATGTTCCTAACTGCAGTCTCCTTTGTTAAGAGCAAGTCAAAAAACATTCTGGTAAGAATGGTAAGCCAAGCAGGGACAGGTTACGCCTTCAACACCAAGAGAGGTCGACTGCAGGAGAAACTGACTCTTTTGCATTATGATCCTATCGTGAAGAAAAAAGTCCTTTTTGTGGAACAGAGAAAAATACGCTCCCTCTAAACAATGGATTGAAAATGAATTTGATTTATAAATGAGAAGACTAGAGGGTGGGATACCAATTCAGAAATCCTGTAACACGGAATAAAAGAAGAGGAAATGGCCTGGGATCACGGCCTCCTGTGATTTGAAGGCCATTGTGAAGGAAAACAATGCAGTGAAAGAAGGTTCTTCAAATTAGGACACAGATCATTGCATCACATTTATTTATCTTGCTAGATATTTTTATAGCCCTTAATAAAAAAAATAAAATATAAAAAAATAGAGAAGAGGCGACTGCACCTCGACCCCAGAGAGCAAGTCCCCAGTGTCCACCTCACAGACCAGGACAGTGAAGGTGAAGGCTGGGTCCGCGCACCCGGGAGAGCAGCCCGCGGTCGCCGTCTAGTGGTCGGAACAGGGAACCTGCACGTCCACAACTAACACGGAACCACCGTGCACGGTCCCTGCCTCACCCGGACCCATATCTGCTGATGTACCGAAAACTTTTTAAACTTATTCAAAAAATAAACACTTCGAAAAATTTTCTAAACTGTAGAATAAAGAAAAGGTTAAGATTTCATTAATAAGGTGCCCTACACAGAGAAGCAGCTGGAGCAGAGGGGACCCCACACGGCATTACTCAGAGCTGCCGCCATGGTCACTGTGGAACTGGGGTCCCCAGGCAGCCTGAACCCCAAGTTACAAGGAAATGAGGCCCTTCATTGCAGGTGACACAAGGCGGGAAGTGACCCCGGTCGAGGGGGATGTTTCCGAGGGGTCAGCACAGAAGAGGTAACTGCACCTCCAGGCAAAGGCTGGGTCCACGAGCCCGGGAGAACTGCCCGAGGTCGCCGCCTAGTGGTCAAGACGAGGAACAGGAACCTGCACGTCCACAACTAACAGAACCACCGAGCACCGTCCCTGCCAGACCTAGACCCACCGCAGCTATCGGACAAATGCACGCTACACACACGGTGCCGGGCCGGTCACACAGCCGAGTGGGTTTTGAAGTCTTTTTAAGATAAAACTAGTTTGTCAAATAAATTACAGTTAATTTTTTCATTAATACTGTGTGTTTACTGGTTTATTACTGGTTCTCCGGCCAGAAAGAGAACTTGTTTGCACCCTGC